CTTGAGGTCATGCCCCCTAGTTGGGGAACTGCTGGCCTAGAGTCGAGGCAGCAGTGCACATCTCTGGATGCAGAAACATAGCTGCCTAGGAGACTCGCAGCAAAAATTTAGGTACTGAGTGAGGTTTAGCTGCCTACAGGATTAGGTGGCCGCCAAGCAGGAATCTCTGTGAATCTCGGTGGAGCCTAAAACTAGGAGTTGTGTCCCTGTGCTTGGGATTTAGGTGCCTATGTAGACCTGGGTCTTAGTCTGTAACAGAAACTCTCCACAAGAAACCTAGACGAGGAAGGGTGTGTGTGGGTGGGTGGGTGTGAGAGAGGGTATTTAGTTCCCAAATCACTAATTTCTATATTCTGCCCCTCACTTGAAAATGTAATTTCAATGGTTGCAGTTGCTCTCTAAGCAAGCAAATCAAATGGATGCACATTAACAGTGCTTCTTGCTGTGCTAATGAGCAATTTCTCTTAATCAATGAATAGCAACCCACAAGCAGGATTCCGACTGTACATATAGCTGTAACTACAAATTACAGGGCGAATAGCAGGATGGAATGCAAGAAAAGAAAATTCAGGCTGGACATTTACGAAAATGTACTTACAATAAGGTTGATTTAACTGTGGAATAATCTCCAAAGCGAAATAGTGGGAGCGCTGTTAACTGCAGTTATTCAAAGGTAGCTTGGAAACAAAATATTACAGGGAAAAAAATCATGTTTTTAACAGCAAGATAACCTAAATTGGTTTCGTCCATTTATTTATGTATAACATCTTTTAGCTGAAAAATAAGGATATATCAACTATATGAAGTTATGCTGGGAGTAGATGCACACAGAGATGGGGTGGCGGGGTGCACGCATGCATGTCTCATTAATGAGTCCACTGCTACATAGTCTCTTGGTAAAAATAAAAAGCAAAATTTGTTCCCTTAAATACACAGTAACAATTGTAAGAATCCATTACCAAGTTGACTGGGGAACTTTTGTAATTCTGACCTTTACTTTTGTAAAATAACCCCTACAAATATATTCCTAGGAGGCAAACTGAAAAGAAATGAAGTGATCCCTGCATATAGGGTCTGAATCGGCACCATTGACTTTGAGTTTGATTGGGTTCAGAGGTTTTAAATCAGTTTGTTTGAGTTTGTTAAGGCTAAGGAAAATATTTCTAATAGTAAAATTATAATTTTTATAGCAAAACTATAGGTATAGTAAAATGATAATTATCCAAAGCTATAGCACTAAAATGTTACATTAAAATAGTCTCTTATTATCCCATAGTAAGTTTACAATTATTAAATAAAAAATACAATTTTAAAGGTGCACTCTAGAGTTAATCCATAGTTCTTAGAGTATTACTATATAGTTCTGCACTCACAGACCCCTTGTAAGAAAACCACTACGTTATCCCACAGTAATGACTCAAAACAGCTGTAGTTATGTGTTTCCTGGTAAAATGTGAAGATTTCGGTGGTCAGTGTGGAGGTAGGCATGTAGTGAATGAGAAAATGGGAGATGCTTACTGAACCCCGAGAATCAACATAAATGTTGAACATTATGCACTGAATGAGACAGGGGTCATGCGGAAAAAATAGTATGTTATCATGTAATGGGGATGGATCACTTGATTACCTGTTCTGCTCATTCTCTCTGGGGCACCTGGCATTGGCCACTGTTGAAAGACAGAACACTGGGCTAGATGGACCTTTGGTCTGACCCAATACGGCCGTTCTTACGTTCTTAATTAAAGGAGCAGAGGTGCCTCAGTACTAATTGTGGGGTTTCCTACCATGAGTGTTTCACTTTGCAATAGTATCTTTGGTATTTGCAGATTTTCTATTTCCTTATACCTACTAACTTGCTATAGGGAATGGTGCAAGTGCGGCAGTGACATTTGGTTATCTAAGGCAATTGAGAAGGTTTTAAAGGGGAACTGTGTGTTTTCATGTAATACATAAACATGCACATACTGTTTAACATAAAACTTAGTATGTCTATATTGTCCCTTTAAGACCGGTGCATTTACTAGCCATTGACACCTTTTAGTGAAGCTGTTTTGGTGCTTTCCTGCTTTGATTTCTGAAAAACCATTTTTTTCTGCAGTTACTTCAATGAGAATCAATATCCTGATGAGGCAAAGAGAGAAGAAATTGCAAATGCCTGTAATGCAGTTATACAAAAGCCAGGTAAGGACCTGATCGCACTGTTCTTTTCAAAGGAGTCTGCAATTAGATTTCAACATCTCCTGCTAAATTCAGCAAATCTCATTTTATGGCTGTTACTAACAATTTAGTGCTCTCAACCAGTAGTAAGTTTTTCCTAGAGCGCTATATGGCTCGTGTCATTCAAGCTGCCGTACTTGGATGAACATGAGGGCTAATGTAGTCTTCAGACCCAAACATGTATGTCTGAAAGATACATTTCTACTAATTAAAATAGTAGAGAGCTAGAGGTGAAGTTGAACATCAAAACATTTCATATATACAGGGTCATGTAGGGTATCCATAGGAAAGGGAATACATTTCAGATATTTGCATTCTTTAAAGCCAATTATTTTTAGTTACTTTTACAAATATGTGCACTTCTTATCTGAGCATCTCAAAGCCCTCTACAATAGGGTGACCAGATGAGAGGAAGAAAATATCGGGACACATGGGGGCGGGGGGTCCGCCGGGAGAGCAAAAAAAAAAAAACGGATTGCGAAATATCGGGACAAGTTGCGTCCTGACCAATCATTGGTCGGGACATGGGACAAGCGGGATTTTATCGGGACGTCTGGTCACCCTCCTCTACAAAAGTGGGTATGTGGCATTATTGTTATTACTGATCTCATTTTAAGGTTGGAGAAATGTAGTCACAGAGAGGTTGTGAATTGTCTACGATCACATGGTGTATCCTTGGCAAACTAGGGAGACCTGGTCTCCTGACATCCAAGCTTCTCTGTAGCTTCTAGACATGAGTCCTCCTTGTAGGTTGTGTGTGTTAAATTGGGGGACCTCATTTCCCCTCCCCCCCCCCGCCCAGCATCTTCTCAGTTCTTCCTGCTCCTGTGAGGGCAGGAGATGAGAAATCCTACCTGGGAATGGAGTGTGGGTATCTGGTGTAATAATGCCAAGTTTGAAGCAGTGAGCCCACCTGCCTTTGCTTAATTGAAATAGTAGAACATACCCAAACCTTGCAGAGAACACGTTCTGCAACTTTTGTTTACAGGAATTAAAAGTAATGTAATCAACCCAAAGGCGAAATAAAGAAAAGCTAGGACGAGACGTCCTAACATATGTGACAATTTTAGCATTATTGACTATAACTTAGCAGGGAGGCAGTCTGGTCTAGTGGACAGAGGACTGGACTGGGGACTCAATAGACTGAGGTTCTGTTCCCAGCTCTGTCATTGACCTGCTGGGTGACCCTGGGTAAGTCATTTCCCTGCTCTGTGCCTCAGTTTCCCCATCTGTAAAATGGAGATAATGATAGCAACCCCTTTCTAACACACTTTGAGATCAGCTGATGAAAAGTGCTATATAAGTTATTACTACTACTAGATCTTCTCTCTGCCATCCCTATATCTCACCTCTTATTAATGTTTACTAGCTTTTCTATGGCACTCACTACCTGTGCACCTCCGACGCAGTAACCAAATTAGCTTCACATTATCCCTATGAGGCGGGAAAGTATTATCCCCGTTTTACTATGGAGAATTGGGGCACGGAGAAGTGAAGTGACTTGCCCAAGGTCACACACAAATTCTGTGGCAGAGCTGTGAATTGAATCCTGGTCTCCTGAACCGGAAGAGCAGCTTTGCTCTCTATCACAGTTTAGGACTGAGCTGGCTGTAGTTGCAAAGAAAAGTCCTGCATTTCTTTTGTGAACTATTCTTATGTAGTTCCACTCTCTAATGCTGTCTGCTCTAAATTTTCAAGGGTTCATCACATGGCAGGGATCTGCTGATCTTATACGTATGTGCAAAGTGCTCTCCATACCTGTGAAACCCTGTAAACAACTGTGCTTTCTACTGTATATTTTCACAGGCAAAAAGTTGTCAGATTTGGAGCGAGTTACCTCCCTTAAAGTGTACAATTGGTTTGCCAACAGAAGAAAGGAAATCAAGAGAAGAGCCAATATCGGTAAAGTATCAGAGAACCTGCTTTCAGACAACCTGAAGGGCTTAAGTAGATAGGCCAGCTCAAGGGAGCTGGAGAGTATAAGATTGAATTCTATTAATGCAAATGGCTAGAAGCTCCAAGCATTTTTAATAGTCCGTTAAAGCACTTTTTAAAATAAATCTTTCACCCTCTCAACGTTTCTAAACTATCATCGGGGACTCAGTTTACAAATGTCAGTAGTAGGACAGGAAAAATGATTCAGTGATCGGATGTCACTAGAGGACCTAATTTCTGATTTAAGTCTGAATCTGATCAATATAGAAGGATTCATATTTCCCTAACACCAAATTATTGGCCAAGTCCCATTGAATGTGCCAAATGAAACAAGAGAAGCAGTGATTTCTGCACTGGGGATAGGGGAAATTCAAAATGTACTGAGTTTAAAACCTTTAAAGTGCAGTTCTACTCTGAAAAGTGCCAGGGGGAAAAGGGAAGCAATTTTTAAAAAAGGGGTCTGTAAGTTTCTTGCCTCAGTAATGTCTAACTCAAATGTACTCATTTTACAAGTCAAAATGGTGGTGTTTTTTCTTACTGCCAACCCTGTAAGATTCCACTGAGATCTGAAAGTCAAGATGGGTTCTTTACATCTCAAATACCATCACCAGTACCAAGGATTCTGCAGGCCAAATTCTTCCTTCAGTTACCCCTGTGCCACCTTATTGCCATCAGTGGGTTTGCAGAGCCATAACTGATTGGAACATAGTAAACAATTCTGTTGACAGTGCGCAAGCTGGAACAGGATACAGCTCACAAACTTAGCTGTGTTGGTTCTGCAGACTATACAAGGTTTCGAGCTTCAGACCTGAAGAAGAGCTCTGTGTAGCTTGAAACCTTGTCTCCCTCACCAACAGAGGTTGGTCCAATAAAAGATGTTACCTCGCTCACCTTGTCTCTCTCGTATCCTGGGATTGACATGGCTACAGACACACTGCATACACATGGGAGACCCCGTCCATTGTAGACTAGATGGGGAAGAAGGAAGGTTTGACTATTAGACATTAAGAATGGAAACAATTTGGGGGGGCAACAGAAGTGAACACTTAACACCCACCCAAATTGTGGATAGTTGAGAGGAGGTCAAGTGTTGACCTTGCTAGTCCACTTTCTTTAAATGCCTAAAATATGGATGGTCTTTAATTCCGGTAATGCATCAGATAATTTAGGGATCCATTTGCTTTTTTCAAAGAAGCAGCAATCCTGGAGAGCCATGGCATAGATGTACAGAGTCCAGGAGGCCATTCCAATAGCGATGACGTCGATGGGAATGACTATTCAGAGCAGGTAAGAATCTGAGCTGAGCTGCGTGGCCCCAGATGGGAGACCCTGTTGTCCCACAAACTTACACAGGATCGTTTTAGGGGTCAAGACAAAGATGCCACATTTATTATTAATCTGTAACTATTAACAAATACCGTAATGCTTATACACATACACTCACACACACACACACACACACCAAAATGTTCTGCAGCTGCTGGATAGTTACCAGTCCTGATTGTAGTTTGAGTTCGCAGCTTGGGATCGTAGCTCGTGACAGCTAACTGGCCAGGAAAGCTGAGCA